ACACTATATGGACAGATTGGACTTGTATCTAGCGGTCCCACAATAGATTTGATGTGAAAAGTAAATGATTGCTACTCGTAGGAATTGCGTATTTCGTTTCAACTAACGAAAATTATTATGTGGTAAAAATGAGAATGAACACATACACATACATGCACATTCACCGACATGTGGTCCGTTTTCTTTGTTGTTTGCCTCTAACGCATTATTTCTATCGACTACTGACCCTCGCATCAACTTTATAGATGAAATGAATGACATGTTTAACATGTTAGCAACGCTAATAGACTAGTTCATTGGTGTACGAAATACACAACATAAAACAATGTGAAACTATGGGGGCATCACCGTATGAAAATCAATCGAACATATTTTTGTGTTGATGTTGTTCATTCATTGTTTGAATGGTTATTTTCTGTATTTCATTTTTCAATCTTTTATCAAAGGTCATGATGGAAAATGAACGTTTTGCAGCAGAAAAGTAAATCAAAGCACATTTTTCCGCCATTTTTCAATGGATTGCACGATGAATTTTCATTCATATTGGTCGCCATTTGGTACAAGCATTTAAAAAATGACAACTTCTACCTAGCTGCATCGAAGAGAGCAACCAAACATTTAGCATAAAATGCATGCGAAAAAACATCAATGGAAATAAAAGAGCTAAAAAAATACAAACACAAAATTACAGTCAATTTCTTTCGCGTCATACATGTTTTTACATCTCTTTTTTAATTCTTCTTCTATTCTGTGGACATTCGACTTTATGTCTATCCATACTTAATTTTCTCTTGGTTTTTTGAGCTACTCCACGTTCGTTCATCGTTTGCTGTTTGAAAAGTTGTAAACAGGAAATGAGACCGTGGCGCGATTACGCCTTGGATTCTTTTTATTATGATTATTATTACTGTTGTTATTATAATTATAAAAAAGATTCTCTATTAGCTTATAGTGTGCGCGCGCGGCCGTGCCACAATATATGTATTATACATACGTACGTATGTGTTTGTGTATAGAAGATAGATTTTGTTATATCTAATATCGATATCGAAAGCCATTAAATCAAATATAGCTTCTGTGTCTTCTTCCATTTTATCTTTTTCTGACTGTTTATTTCATTTTCTTTCTCTTTTCGTATTTTGCTCATTCAGTTATTCCACAAACCGGGAGTACAAAATCGGCATTAATACCAATACTTGTGTAAAAACGTATAAAATAATTGTTACGATATACTAGTATATTGAATCAGTGTGACTAGAACACAAATATGCAAACGGTTTATTTTTTGTCGACGTTTAACTGAATAAAAACGTGGACATTTATCGACACTGCGCTCAAGTAAGCTTATGAATATGCCTATGTTAGCCGGCCGAAATGCATGTGTTGGTGCATATTATATTAGATGCTTTAATGTTCTATCGTGAAATAGTAGTTTCCTCTGGTGGTTCTTCTTAGTAGTGACGAATATTTAAATACTTTTTTTTGCAAATAAATAAACAAATTAAAATAACAAACCATTTTAAATGATTTTAATTGAAGCTTGCGTTCTATTCGGACATGAACGCGCGCGAACAGATTATTTAGAACAGAACACAATCAAATTGAAATGAGAATAAATAAAATTGAGCGAGCAAATGTAATGTCGAATGCTATAAAATGTCTTTGAAATCCAATGATTGCATAAAAATGCTGAATGAATGCATTTTCAAGAGAGATAATATTCTATTAGCTTTATTAGCTCTCTCAACCAAATTGAATCTGATACACACTTCCTTGATAACAAACCGCCGATTCGCCGCTTATGCATCTCATTGCACAAACACATGACACACACATATATAAACACACTCCGAAATCTGTGCATATAACTCACCATAAAGATTTATTGATTAAACATTTATATTGAGATCGACTTTAGCGTGGAGTGCGGTCTCTCGCGCTCAACCTTTGACATTTTTAATCCAGAAAATGCATTTAACAAATCATTTGACATTCTCAGAGCAAATGCAATCCAATATATTATGTGCACTGTATGATTTTAATTGATCACTGAACGTATCACACTCTATTGATACAAATTCAATTATTTCATAGTTTTAAAAGCATTGTTTTATGTCTAATTCAAACAAATCCAAATCAATCGAAATGGAAATAATAAACATTTCTACCACTTGTCATTCGCCTAAAAATTTTTCACATTTTCGTTTTCATCAAATTCATCGCTGAACAAAAACTGTGAAAGAATTTCAAATTTATTGGTGTGTCACATCCGAAGGTGGAAAGAAAAATTCCATTCATAAACTTAATAGAATTTATACGGAATTGAAAATGTTAAAAGTCATTTTCAATCGAAAATTTACCTTGATTATTTGTCCTAAGGTGCAGCTCTTATGTTCATATTCATTACGACAATTTCCTTCACGCTCCCATTCAAAACTCAAGAATTAATAATAAAAAAAGCACACGATGTTAAAACTCCTAATAAAACTCTGCACATATCATATTCTTGATAGTCGATTTACATCGAAACAATACAAGAAGACGTTAAATTTCTACATATTTGTATACGATTGCGATAAAGAGTGTGAAGTGAACGGAAGACGAACGAAAAAAAGCTAGAAGAGGCTCGCGACAATCATAATAGCACACAGTCTCTTTCATTTTTTTTTATGATAAAGAGAAATAAATAAATAAAACGAAGATATTAGGCGTAATAAACATCGGTCAAGCTTCTACAATCATACCGAACACACCCAAAAGAAGGAAAATCCCACGCTTGTTAATTATAACATTTGGACATTTTGAGTTGTTGTATGCACACATATCGGTTTCATCAATAAAAACCAACCGGAACAGCCAACGATTTCATTTCAAGATAAATGGCACATATTTCATTTTATGACTGTAGAACCACCGAAAATACGCTGAAAATAAATAATAATCTCCTTTAACAGCCGCAATAAAAACAAAACAAAACAAAACAAAAAAAGACATTCAGTCGATTACAAAGCCCTCCCCACCCCACAAAAGGAGACAGCAAACGATAATGATAATGATTGTCGTTTTGCAATCCATTTTTGAGAATAATTGTGTCGTCACTTAAAATGAAAGCGTAACAATTTCGTTTTTGCGCTAAAAAAAATCCTGCAGTTAAAAAAAATCCCGCATTGTTCCGCATATTTTCGGGTTGAACCTTTCCGGAAAAGGTCAAGGCCGTCAATATTATGTGATCATTAAATGCCCCGGCACTTTTCAATTCAACGCAAAACATTGCGGGAAAGTTCGCCTTGTTTGATAAGCTCAATTTGATAAAGTTTTATTCATAAATATCCCCCGTTCGGGATGGTGTTACGGAAAAAAATTCAATCGCGATTTTCGGCGTCGGATTCTTTGGAATAGTGATAACGTTGATGATTCCTTTTCGTATTCTTGGAACATGTATATTCATAATCTCGTTTCTCTCTCTGTGTGTCTCTCTCTCCGTTCCTCTTTTCGGAACAATATAATTTGCTACGTCTAAAATAGAATTTGATAGACCGACACTTTCAAGATAAATCAACATAGAACATCAAATTAAACACAAAGCCATGAGACGTCATTGACCGCATGTTAGTGTAATCGAAATGTGCTATATGTATAGAAATATGGAACTTAGTTGGGTCCATTTTGAAATGAATGTGAAATAATTTAAGTGCGAGCGCACACGCTCACACATGGGCGCATTTAAGCATTCGCAATCATATTCATTATGCGGTCTGTTTTTAGTATGTTGAAATAACAAGTAATCGCAAATACACAGACACTAATAAAAATCCATCAATTGATTTTTTTTTTGTTTTCAAAATTTTGTGAATGCTTCATTTAAATATGTATAGATTTATAGCTTGAAATATCAATTTATTTTCGATTCAAACTAGCTATTCGAATTAAAACATGCACAAATGTCAAAAAAGTCTATGCATTCATATTGACAAGCAGTAAAATGATGAATGCATTTCAGTTGGCAAAAAGCTCCAAATATCTTGTCTCCAATAATGACAACAGCAATAGCAACACACAAAAACATTGCCAAACAAGAAAAGCCCAAACAAAACATTGCAACTAAATGGTTGTGCTATATAGCTCGCTTGGGATAGGTGCGAATTTTTTGCCCAAAATATTGAGAACAACAGCAAGAGATAATTGTTCGAAATATAATATGTTTCGTGATAGACCAGTAAATATTGTGTATTTACACTGTCGTGCAGCCGTTTTGATCCATCGGCTCACAAAATTTGATTTTTCCCAGTGTAGACAAAGTTTTTTTTGTGAAAATATTGCCGGTTCTTTCCTTCGTCAAATAAATGCAAAATTACGCTTCGGTATGAATAGTTTTAAATACGGTAAAAATGAGTATTTTCGATGAAAAATGAGTTCTTGATCAAAACTTTTATACCACACTGTACATATATGTATATATACTACTAACAGTTCGAAATGGAATTGAAACAACACGACAAAATTGATACGTTTGTACAAATGTTATCATACATAGAAAAAACCATATCTTATCGCATATTCGTGGCCGGATGCTCTGTATAAATAAGTGTACATATAATTCATGTATACGTTCCATATGATTATGACTAAACAGGAAGACTACAACAAAAACAGCAGCGACAGCAACTACAATTCACATTTCGAATCAATCGCCTGTAGTTAAACAATCATTTGGAGTGTTAACAATTCGTGTGTATGGTTTTTTTTTTGTATTTCTGTCTCTGCCTCTCAATTCTATCAATGTTTAAAACATCATCGGAAATCGCACGTCACAAAAATGGAAATATTGTTTTACTTACCTATAGCACTACAAATACATCTGTAAAATGTAAAATTCGTTTGCTAAAATCGTCCACTATTTATGCATGAACAATAAAACAAATAAATTTGATTGATTATCATCTGTGTCTATCGCTCTCTTTTAGCAGTTTTATATACTAAGTTGAATGAAAAACTATACGTCGATTAACTAAAAAAAACATGTACTTTTTTATTCTGTCATTTTTTTTTCTTCTTTTCAACATATTTCAATCAAATCAGAACCATCAAGTGGCTGAAAACAGATGAAAAATCTTAATTATATCAATTGAGAATCAGATTTGATTATATGCAAATTCGATTTTAGTTTTGTATTGAAATTTATCATTTTGCCATGATCGTAGTAGACATTTGTGCGCGAATTGATTGCGGTTAGTTTACATTTAAAATAAATACAAATCTCGCCATTTCACGTCACACATTAAAATACATTCATGCACACGCATGCACGCATGCAATTATAGGATTTGAAACAATTTCTTCAATTCGACCATCAGTTTCCAATCAGCATTGTTTAAATCTTCACGGAAATAGTCCTTACAGGCATCAATGCTCTGCCGAGATATCTGAAATTTAGAAAACAAAAGGAAAAAAGTAAACCATTAGAACCAGTATTATGCAATGTATTGCCATGAATTAAGGTGATATTGATACGATTGTACCACAACATAAGTCATGCAAATAGTTTCTTGACCTAATTCAATTTCTTGTAATGTGTCATTTGATGACGTCAATGTTATATTTTATACGGTAGATGGGGTGGGTTTGCGTTTACTTGGACATTCTATTTATAATCATAATATGACCTACATCAAGAGGGCTGCTATGTATTTGAAGCCACAAAATAAATGCCATTCATCGCAAAAGGATTAAACGTCATTAATGTTGTATGCAAGCGGTATGACGATATGTGTTCGCGCGCGATAAATTGGGTCATCAATGACGTCAATAATTTTATATGTGCTCGTGCATAAAGGAATAGTCATTTGGTTTGCGGGCCAAGTAATTTGGTTGCAAGCCATGTAATTGAAATGAAATTTATCCATTCATGCGGAATAAAATCTAAACTTAAATGAATGAGAAGAATGAAGGTCGTCTATTTTTTGCCTTTAATAAAAAAAAGAACGAAGCGACTCGACATATTCAAGGAATATTAAATCATTAATACCGATTTGAAAATATCGTTTCCCTCCCATAACAAATAAATTCGAATATTTGAAGCAAAAAAGTGGCAAATGCAAAATGGAATCTTAAATTGGAACATTTTAAATAAAACTTTAAAATTGTGCAATTGCTCCATCACCTCGTGAGTTTTTCGATTAGATTCTTTCATTCGAATCGAATTTATCGGTCAATGCTTGAACAGAAAAAAACAACCGACCTTCAATTTCGATTCATTCATGCATTTCGGAAAATTCGGCACAAATTCTGAATGAAATATCATTTTCTTTGCCATTCCTTCTTCTTAAATTGTGTTGTCAATTGAAAAAAATAAAAAAAATAATGGCAATTGCATATAACAGAGTCGCCCAGCAATCGAACAAACAAGGACAATGCCGAAATATAGGTCAATCGATATTTGGTACGTTTCGCGATGAAAATCGGGACAAAATTCATTCATAAAATTCTTCGTATGTTCTGTTCACACGAATGTTACGCTTCAGCTGTGCTTATACTCCGAGTATGTGTGTGTGTGTACATCTTGGTAAATGTGTGAATGAAATTTGTTTGCCAAGCGGAAAAGAATGATATACGACGTGAACAAATTCATTCCACATATCGTATCCGTGGTTATTTTCCCCTCTCACGCTAGTGAATTTCCCTGCGCGGAACAAATTGTATTGTGTGCGTATATGTATTTTGAGTGGTTTTGAATGAGAAAATCCATTCATTGAACAAAATAACGACAACAACAACAACAACGAAAATAGATTTTTGTATACTACAAAAATTATTGGGAACGTAAGAACGGGAGGAAGCTCAATGTAAAAAGACACACACGCTTGCATACTAGAAAGAAGAGAGAGAGAGAAAAAAAAAACACACAAAAGCACACAAAGTACAATGAAACGCAAATAAATAAGAAGAAGAAAACGTGTGGGTATATTTTTCTCTCTAATTCCATTTCGTTTACGAAAGTATTTCATTCAGACATCTTAACATGCAAAATAAATAGTTTCAATCGACACATTTGGGGTAGAAACGTTTGTTTTTACAACAAAAAAAATTAAAAAATGACAATGATTCATTCAGTTCAAGTTAATTTGAAGAAATATAAAAATGTGTGCAATTGAGCACGCATTTTCAATTATTCGATCGGTTTAATTGCACATGTATAGTTGGGAGCGCTTAATTTCTCCAAGAAATAATATTGACGTTATTTCTTATAGCATGTATACTTAAAATATCATTTGGTGTGTCGGAAACATCAGCGTTTGTGTGTGTGTGTGTGCGATTTGACACGGAACGATGAAAAATTTAATTAAAAGTACCATTGCAAACGAGAAAGTGAGAGGAAGAGAGATAGAAAAAAATGCATACAAATTGATATCTTCCTGTTTCTAGACAATCTTGTTTAACTGCAGAACACCAAATCAAAACCAGCGATTCGAATGTGCGAACACACTTTTTGTTGTTGTTTTTTACTTCCCAAGCCTATTGTACAATCGTTCGATTCCAGTGAATTCATAAAGAATTCTTAATATTAAATAATTTGTCTTTTTCTCTCTCTATGCCTTTCTTTCTCGCATAAAATGAATAGCATTTTTTTGGAAATTTCTTATGTGCATGTAAACTATATGCAAACGGATATAAAGCGCTATGCACCACACATTTGAGTAGTACTGAATGCAACAACAAGCAAAAGATACAAGACTTTACGTACGAACCGAAACAATTGTAATAAGAGAAGGAAAGTAAGTGGATTTTATGGCGAGCCAATTTGGCGCTCCTTGCCACATTTTGTTTACAAATTTTGATTATTTAGCGTAGTATGCACGTGTAATGATCGATCTCAGTTGGGAATGAAACGAACACACCACATTTAGGTCTTGTCCTGAAAATAACGGTTGAATGTTACACATTTCATTTTGAATACATTTTAAAGAGTCAGAAATAATGTCGAAACCGTTTGGAATTTAACGCAATTACTTTTTCTACCAGTTTACGATGCGATGAAGCTATTCTTTCTTTCTATTTGTTTGCTGTTTATAATGTCTCTACCACATTTTTTGTCTTTCAATTCACTCATTTTCATTACAGTTACAAACTGCATTACAAATTGAATCCGTAGTGACGCTTGGTCCTTCGGTTTGCATACAATTTCAATAGGTTTTTAAACGAACATTATGCGCATCTCTTTCTTTCTCTCTGTCTTTCTATTTTCTTACATTGGCCGGAATTCGAATTCGCCACAAAGTCTGAATTTGAATCGTCAAGTACACCGAAAAATTCTCAAAATCTATTCACAGTGTCAATACAAAGCCACAAATCTGATGTTATTTTCATTTTGTCATTGTGAATCAAGCGTTCAGAAAGACATACATTTATGCACGAAGTGCTCCGAACGCACAACGGAAGCACTAGCGATGCGCATCAAAGGATGCAAGCATCATTCAATTGCTCGCATAAATGTATGTCTTTCTGAACGCTTGTTGTGAATACTCGTCCACAGTCAAATATTTAAAAATAAAATGAATGCAATGGTGAATTACTACAAAAGCCGTAGACTATTTATTTCTTTTCTTCACAAAACAGCATTTTGTATGCAATAGATTGTACGCATACCAAAGCCAATTCACCAATGCATCGAAGACAGAAAAAGTTTGAAGTATCATTCAAATTTCGATGTGACGCATTGAACAATATTGGAATGGGATGAGCATAAAAATGATTACATTTTTTACCGAAAAGTACCCTAACTGCACAAAGTGTGTACACACATGAGACGATCATATTTCAACTTTTTTTTACATCGGATGAATTGGGTACTCTACACATTCGGTGTGCCTGTTGAATGTATTTACGCAAGTGTGTTAAATGCGAAAAATGAACCCCTTCTTTCCGAGCCGATATTTTTATTAATAGAAATAGATTTGAAAAGTGAAGATGCCATAATATCTTACGAACGTAAATTTATACATCGCACATAACATTTACACTCTAAATTTTTCAAACGTAAACTGTAATGTGCATTTATGTGTCGTTTTTTTTGTGAGTTTTCTTTTGTCGCTTTTAGGCTTTTGAACAAATCAAAAATGCATGGAGCTCATTTGTGCAAATAAACAAGGAAATGAATACAATCAATTGACCATTTTTAAATTAACTATAATTAATAAACTGTTGTCAAATCGACCATTTCGAACTCACCTTACTCACTAACATATCCGTATCATCAAAATGTCGACCAAACATTTTTGGTGATTCACCCGGAATGGGTTCAATTTTAATGCACACTTCTTGACCCTTGCGTGCGCTCTCCACTTGTTTGTGATTGCATTCGATTGATGTTACCAAACCGATATCCAAGAACTGAAAATAGCAAAGAAAATAAACATTTAGTAATTAAGGTTTAAACTTTAACCCAGATATTTCAATTCGCTGTCATTTAATTGATTGTCTCCGAAAAAAAAATTTGCATGAAAATTAGAGCAACTCTATTTATATACCGATTGATATTCATATATTGCGTTAATTGTTCTCTTCCTTCTCCCGCGTCTTTCTTGAACCCAGAAACAATTTTATTTTAAAAATTCGAATGAAAATGAAAACAAAAAAAGTTCAACAATCGCGCTCATGGGTGTCATCAAAACGTGGCAATTGAGGTAATTGAGCGAATGAGTAATCATTTTATATTCTAGATAAACAAACACTTTGGCACGATCAAAAGAGGAACAGAGAACGTGTGACACAGAATGAGAAAGAAACAGCATTCCTAATTAGAACGAAAAATGACGCATATTTACATTGTAAAAAGGTCAGTTTGAGTGTTACTTTAAAAGGGAGAAATTAGTTAACGATGACAGAATTGAAAAAAAAAAAAATACTGCGATCCGAGCGTTCTGTCTCTGTTTTCTAATTTTATACATGAACTTCAGTCATTTATTCGTACTAATTTAATGTTTCAATACCTTTCTATGAAAATGTCATTTTGACTCATTCTCCGGAATATACACATAATTATTTCATTCGACTAGCTTATTTCGATGGCTAAACGGCAGGAGACTGCAACAATACAATAATAAATGGGCAGCGATACAGACTTTATAAATTGAAAAGTTTCATAACAATCATTTTACAATTGACTGTTAAGCCGGAGATGTTTGGAATGTCTTTACCGATTTTCTTTTTTCGGCAGCGTAATCAGGTAGCAAGGTGCCACTGAATGAGTCGAGATGTATTTCAATGAAAACAATACAGGTCAAAACTCACGAAAGAAGAAAATGATAGAGGACAAAAAAAATGTTGTGTGCACTTAAAACACCAGGTTTAAAATTGTCTTTTGCACGCGGCCTTTATCGATCGTTTCAAAGAGCCGCCACATTTTACATAAAGAGTGATAATTTTTTTTCTCTCTTACTGTATTTTGTAACATAAATAATAATTAGCAATTATTTGTAATTTTGTTATAAGTTTGCCAGGCAATGAGTGTGTGTATAAAATAACGTCAACACACACACACACAATTATAATTAATGCATTTTTTTCCTCTTTTATATACATAAATCGAATCGGTATGTGTGGCGATACGATGTTGCACGTATTCGTACAGTGTGAATGCTTAATTTTGTATCGACATAGAAGATGGAATACTAAATGGCTCAAATATCCACTGTACGAATGCACAGATGCAGCAGTAAACAGAAGCGAAAGATATTTCAAAACACGTTTCTCGAATGTAAATGTTTAAATTGTGAATGTGTGTGCATATGAATAGAAGAGATAAATGTGTGCGTGAGCGTTCGCGCTCGCGCTATACAATTTATTCGACTTTTTATGCTCCACACGATCACTCTCTCAATGATTCTAATAAATTCTAAGGAAGTTCTAATATGAAACATTTTTAATTCTCAACTTGAAATGTTGATTACAGTCACGATTTGTCATTTGTTGCAGAGATTAAATGCACGCTTTTCATTCTTTTCATTGTTCTACGCATCGATTTCGTTTCTTTTCAATTCTCTTGTTGTCTTCATTATTATTGTTGTTGTGTCCCCTTCTGACGTACGACTCACAATTAAATCATTACAAAACATTCAATTGACTTGAGTTGGTCTTGAGCTGTGTGTTTTGACAGGATTTTTGAATTGCTTTTCTGACTAGCCTAGCAAAAGATCGATTTGTATTTGGAACGGAACTTGAGATCAACGTTATTTGGTTTATTCTCGCTACTTTCTTCAATCAACCGAGACGTGTGTGCGTATCTCTCTTTCCCTCTCTCTCTCTCTCTCTCTCTCTCTCTCTCTCTCTATGTGTATTTATGCATGTTTTTCAGCTTTGACATTTAGTCAGAAGGTCCTCAACCAATCAATCTGTGCCATTTGGCGTTTCCGTTTGTTTTTATTTTCTTGTGTAATATATCATTCATTCAGCCGATAGCCAACAGCTAAATTCCAGGGATCTATTAACGAAAAGTGTTCCCTTCCCCCCTCACCGAAATTCCGAAATGATTGTGAAAGGAAACTGAAATAAATGCAACAAAAAAAAGTCGATTGAGAAGAAGAAAAATAGCGCATCTAGAAATAATAAATGAGCTCGTGATGTTCCACACATTGTCTTCGCATCAAAAAGATCTGAAACACGCATGCCATTGCATCGACACATATTATAATACTGATTCATTTCAGCAATTTTAAAGTTTCAGTTTTTTTTCTCGTCATCATCAGCGGCTTTTGCTTCAAATCATTTAAAAATGTTCACGCCGTCTTTTATATATATGCTTTTTTTTTCTTTAGCGCTAACGTGCCGGGTAAGTGTATAATCAACGCAAATATGGCGCAAAAAAGTGCACACGGACACACAACCAAAAAGAAGAACTCGGTAACAATGGAATGGAAAAAGAGTGAGAGATAAAAATAAACGAGTGTTGAATCGAAAAAAGGCTACGCTTTAGATTATTCAAAAAAAAAAAAGAAAAAATATTTGTTTTGTGAGCTAATGTGCGCTCTCGCATTTATAACTTATATACTCTGATGATCATGATTTGAAGTCAGACAAAAAAGTGTATATTAAAAACATTGCGCGTTCGGCTAAAGAATTTTATGAATGAGCTTCTTATCAGTTTGTGCATAGTGTAACGAGCACGAAAATGAACGTCCTTTTGCTTTAATCTACCTTGAGGGAACGGATATGCAAATTTACATATACACACACTCACAAAAACACAGAAAGAGAGAGCGAGAGTCTCACATGTCTTTGTCGTTGTTGCCAGCCATTCTCGTCATGATTTTTTTCATCGTGGCCAAACTATTACATTGCAAGCCGTAATATGGTGCAATGGTCAAAAAGGAAATGCGCGATTTGTCAAGTGTTTAAAACCTTGGAAACAAACTGTCTGTTTCAAATTGTGGCCTTAAGTTTCGTTGTGTGTGTGTCAGATGGTGTTTGATACAAAAAAATTATTCATCGTGCTCATAGAATATTCCGGCGATATAATTAAAGTGTAGATTTGTTATAAAGTAGCTTAGTGATCGTTTGGGGAGACTCTTAAGTGTTTTCGTCATCATTTTTTTCATTCATTCTTCTTCGCTTTCTCACTATATGCGTGTCTCCATTCGGCTCTCCAATTCAAGTAAGTGTTCAAGTTGTCAAGCCAAAGAATAATTTCATTTTATAATTTGGGAATCAACTTTTATATTTTCATTTTATTATTCTTTTCCCTTCCCTATCTCTCTTGTTTCTTGGCATTTTTTTAGGTGCGGCCGATATATATCTGCTTTATATTTAATATGAGACACGATGAAATGACAACTACCAATATATGTATAACGTAATATTGCTTTCAAAATATGAAAAAGAGAGACGTCAATATAGATCGACAGAGAAAGATAGAGTGAAAAAGAAGCGTTTCAACAGTTTCTTTCTTGGCTTTGTTCAAGTTGTCAAGTGAAATGAAATCAATGCTGCCCACGATGAAAAAATTTGAACCGCTTAATAACGTTGGAATAGTAAATAGATATAAAGAGAGAAATTCACTCAACGCACATTATCGCCGGTTTTTTGTGCAACAATTCGTTGATTTTCTCATTTTCAAAATTTATTACCAAAACTACTTGGAAATTTCACAGATTTCTCTCTATCTCTTTCTATCTCGACGAATGCATAAAAAAGATTCAAAGTATTATGAATCTTAAATATCTTCTTCGGCACCATCAGCTGCAACAGCACCATCGCAAGTAGTACCATCAAAAAAAAGAAAGAAAAGAACCAGCAAACCATCACTATTTGTCTAAATGAATATGGTTATATATTCGTTTTGTGATGTGTTAAACAAAATAAATATAATCCGACAGTGATAAGAATGTGCATTGCAGTTAACACGCAAGCCAAAATACATGTGCGCATTGCGAACAATCGTCTAAATGTGCGATTGTTCAAACATTCGAAAAATGAATGATGTGAAATACAAATTGAATACACAGAAATCTATCTTGTATGTGCTTGCCGTGCATATTGCTTAAATATGCATGTATTTTGTGCGCTCACGCGCGTCTACTATAACCGATGTAAGCTCAAAATGTTTGCTGTACGATTTTGACCTCAAATTACATAAGTGTAGGCCGCATTTCATTCTGTTTCTTTTTCTATGTGGTTTTTTTCATCTCTCTCGTTCGTTCTTTATGGTTGATACATTTGTTCGTGTTCTTTATTTGCTTAGATGCGTGCGATGCCAATATGCTTGAGCTGTGTATAATTTTTGGAAGAAACCAACATAAGAATACCAATAAAATGTCATATTGAACGATAGATGCATTCACATTGACAGCTCTATGCACTCACAGATCGAAGAATATTATGTAAAATTGATGCGATTGATGAATGCAAACGAAACATGATCAAGTGACATGAATTACATTCATTTTACAGTAATTTCACATTTTAATCGATGATATGATTATTTTATAATTTCCATCGTATTCTTCGTTAAAATTAAGTTAGGGATGAGACATGCTCACTTGTACATCAATTGAGCCACCTCATTCATGACAGCGACGATGACGACTGACGAATGACGACGATGACAACAACAACAACGACAACGACGACAATAACAACGAAAAAAAATGATTGTTCATTCAATACTCATCTATATCGCGGCATACAGTCAATTGAATGAATAATCAATATAATCTGTCTGTGCCAATTCAAGTAGCAACATTTTCAGCGGGCCGTTTTCGTATACGTTTCAATCACATTGCAAAAGCATTTGCAATAGACGATGAATGAGTGCGAAAGAGACGATGAACGTAACGTTTTCAGCATTTTGAAGCGGTTCTGCTTGAAATTGAAACAAGTCTCAAATCGAGAAGAAC